TGCATTTCCAATAGAGAGATAGTTAGAGAGAAAAGTATATATTCTCATGGCTTGTCTCATATGATGTATGTCTATGTGTTGTACTGTATTCTGTAGTCAAACTAAATGTTAAACAAATATATTTATGAATATTTATTACAGAATATAACGGTTAGAGAGCAGACCTACAGTACCAGCGCTACAGTACTCGTGACATACAGTTTGTCAAAAGTATATAATAAATGAATTCAAACTTAATTTGCTTTTGGGCTCAATTGGAAGTTATATAATGGGTGGCGGAGAGAGTTTGGCCAAACTTGCCATCCGGTCGTCCATTTTGGGCAAACCAGACATGAAATACGCGGCGGTGAACGGGTTGTTGCGCAAGTGATCGACACTAAACTGTGCGTTTGTAGCCGAATGCGAGGTAACGGGTGGCAAGTGATAGTTGGGCGCCGGCAGGTATGTGCCACAAGGGCTCTGATGCATGTTATACTGATGAGGATGTGTGGCCTGCGGGTGAGTGAGATGGGAATGGGCTGACAGTGACGACAGTAATGAAGAGGCGGCCGATTGGGAGTAAAGTGACGGCGAAGACCAAAAGTTGCCGAACGCGTCGTTATTGGCTTTGAGTGCCGCCGGCGTTAACTCTGCGCCTCTCATCTTCATAGTGTTGACCATCGCATTGAGATGACCTCCCGGTGCGTAAAGTGGCGGAACACTCAACGGGAATGATCGAGCGGTGGCCGCCTTTTCACTCTCGAGCGACATTCCGGTCACACTTACCGGTATATCACTCGGCGATGACGTGAATGCCGCGAATCGCGCCATCGGATCAAAGGGTGAGCTCATTGATGAGCTCATGTATGCCTGCGCTGATCCCAAATAGCCATTGTCTTTCTTCACCATAGGCTTTGGCTTACGTCTGGGCCGATACTTATAGTCTGGATGCTCTGTAGTGGTAGTGGGAAAAAGTAGTTGAATATAAATACAGTTATTTAACTGTTGAGTCGGTTCTGACACTCAGACACTATTCACACTAAATATAGTCTTAAAACTAAGAATTAAATGCAAAAAACTGAGTGAATTTGTGTGACTGAAGAAGAAGGGGTTCCTATAATAACGTGTTTGAGTGGTGTCTGAGTGGGAAAGACACTAATTGTATGCTTTGTGTGTTGTTTCGTACCTTTCATATGAAGAGCTCTCAACCTCTTTGCCTCATCAATGAAGGGTCTCTTTTCGGATTCAGTCAACAGTTTCCAGTCCTGACCCAAACGCTTACTGATCTCCGAGTTATGCATCTT